AAAGCATCAGATAAAATAGGGAAATTATCAATCCAAACAAGGCGATTGTTATTCGAGGGAATTCATAGAAAGGCCTAGAACACGAAGGGATTTCTGTGGTTCCTTCTGGCAGGCAAAGGGCTCATCCTTCACCAACAATGATAATTCAAAATCTCATGATTAAAACTCTTCACGGAGTTTCTCCAGCAGTCCCCAGTAACGCTTAAATGCCTTTGTTTTAGTTAAAACCAGTAACTTCTTAGAGAATCTTTGAAGAAAAGTGTTCCCAAGTAAACTATTAATTTTTTCCCCTGACCTTCAATATGTACCAACACAGAGTCTGCAAATGGCAGGTAGTCAATAAATGTTTGTTGAATGGCTAAGTGAATGAATTCACTTGCACCAATAATAAGCAAAATGGTATCAATTTTGGAAGAGTATATATATTAAAAGATGCAGGTTTACTAAATTCAAGAAAGAATTCAATAGGTACCGTTACAACTCTAGGATAGGAAATTATAAAGATAAACATTTAAAAATGGACACTTTTGTTCTAGAAATGTTAGCAGTAGTTAAATTGTATTCAATTTTTTCAGATTTATATGTTAATATATAATAATTTCATAAATTAACTGAGAATTTCTATCCTAAATTTTAATATAATATTGTCAACCTCAATTATGCACTTATAAGACCTTCAATTACTTTGCTTTTACTGTATTATTATTGAGTCAAAATATGTTATGTTATAAAAACATTTTCTTTTCTACTCCTATGTAAAACTATAATCATTGCAAAATATGTGTCCTGTGTCCAATAGTGTGAGTCTCTCTACGTGTATGCATGGGAGAAATTTCTAAATGAAGTTATTTATGTTAAGAAAATTTCTATAAGCACCCGATTCACTGTGAATCAGATCTATGCCAGGCAGGGAGGATGCAAAGTCAGTGTCAAGGTCAAAGGTTCCCAAATTTCCGCAGTGCCTCCATCATTGTTTTTCTCATGGTGCCTTGAAGCCAAAGGTCATCTAACAGTTCCCTTCACTAAGTAGTGAGGTCCAAACAACCTATAAAATAGTCATGTCTTACAACAGTCCAAAGCAATCTTGATAAAGAAAACCAGAGCTGGAGGAATCAAACGCCCTGATTTCAGACTATACTATAAAGCTACAGTAATCAAGGCAGTATGGTACTGGCACCAAAAAATAGAAATATAGATCAATGGAACAGAATAGAAAGCCCAGAAATACACCCACACACGTACTGTCACCTAATCTATGACAAAGGAGGCAAGACTGTACAGTGGAGAAAAGACAACCTCTTCAATAAGTGGTGCTGGGAAAACTGGACCACTACATGTAAAAGAATGAAATTAGAACACTTCCTAACACCATACACAAAAATAAACTCAAAATGGATTGGAGACCTAAATGTAAGGCCAGACACTATAAAATTCTTAGAGGAAAACATAGGCAGAACACTCTGACATAAATCACAGTGAGATCTCTCTTGACCCACCTCCTAGAGTAATGGAAATAAAAACAAAAATAAACAAATGGGACCTAATTAAACCTTTTGCACAGCAAAAGAAACCATAAACAAAATGAATAGACAGCCCACAGAACGGGAGAACATATTTGCAAACAAAGCAACCGACAAGGGATTAATTTCCAAAATATATATACAGCTCATGCAGCTCAATATCAAAAACAAAAACAACCCAATCAAAAAACGGGCAGAGGGCCTCCCTGGTGGCGCAGTGGTTGAGAGTCCGCCTGCCGATGCAGGGGACGTGGGTTCTTGCCCCGGTCCGGGAAGATCCCACATGCCGCAGAGCGGCTGGGCCCGGGAGCCATGGCCGCTGAGCCTGCGCGTCCGGAGCCTGTGCTCCGCAACGGGAGAGGCCAAAAAAGTGAGAGGCCCGCGTACCGCAAAAAATAAATAAATAAATAGTGAAATAAAATAATACCTTTATCTCATTTTTAAATGAGCACAATTACTTACTAATAGGGTGCCCAAGCCTGTCAGGCCCCACACTCCTTCTCAAACCTTCCCAAACTTTTCAAACAACTTCTCAAGCCTTGAAATCGAACATTCCATCCCACACGTCCATTTCCTGCTCCACTTAATTTTCACATGGTGCTTGTTCTTATAACTGCAACTGCAGAAAACCCAGCTTCACAAAGATATGACATCATCTAAAGGAATGTAGCACAAATAAGCCAACAGTGCACAGGGCATCTGACAAATGTCACTGTGTTTCCCTCAAAAATTTAACATACCCTGGAATGCTGTTGTAAATTCACTGTACTGCCAATTTAGAAACCCCGGATCCAGGTGACAGAGTAATTCAGGGTTAAGGGGCAAGATGAAACACAAGAGCAAATAATTACAATCCCTTAAGGGCAGAGCTGCACAGCTAGACGACAGTAACAAGGGTCACATGGAAAGTTGGACCATTTTTATAAAATGTTAGAATAAGTAGTATATTAAGGACTTCTGCCTTTTTTTATTATGAGTTCAAGAAATTTTTAGGCAAAGAGAATAGATGAAAAATCCATTGGCGGTAAGAAAGGAATGGAGGCCAAAATACGGACAATCATTCGGTCATTCAACAATATCTAAGTCACCCTTCATGGTCAGCAGACAGTAGCTGCCACAGCAAGAAATAAGAAAAGAATTCAGCCGAAAATATCCTCCAACTCTTGCCTCTTCCTACATGCCCCTTGGACAGAGTGACTGTATGTTGGCACCAGAGCAGAATGGTGCCTGGGGTGTAGTAGGTGCTTAATAAATGATCGTATGATGACAATTAGATGAGAAAGAACATATAGGAGTAACTTAAGATGTCACATGTGCAAGACATGAACAAGGGCATCTGCATCTATTTATTATTTATGTTCAGCATGCCTCCAGAAAGTATACAAAAAGACACCTCACCTATCCCACTGAGGGCAGAAGATCAAAAACTATGCAGTTGGAAGAAATAAAACAGATTTACTCCAAGAAATGTTGCACTGTTAGCAGCAAGACAACAGGCCCAAAATGGAGTTTTTTATGCCAAGCCCCACATACCCAAAGCAAGACTCAGGCTTAGCTTACTTACAGCTTTGGCTCTCCCAGAAGCGGATTCTTAAACCAGTCAGCCGGGCATCCCCAGGCCAACACGAGCGAGCCCATGGGCCACACAGCCCCCGCCGGCCCCGGAGGTCAGGGACCCTGACACAGCCCGCCCACCTTACTGGTGTCACGGCCGCGTTCTGCTCCCCCGCCTATAACATCTTCCATTTGCACAGCTCCTTGGGCTCCTTTCTCTCTGCTGATGGGATGCTGCCTGACTCATGCATCACTGAATAAAGCCAGTAAGATCTTTAACATTTACTCAGTTGGATGTCGGCTTTTAGCAGCTCAAGTATTTGAAGGGAGATGAGAATGTGAATTCTGTGTGTTGTTTTTTAAGCACAGTAGAATCCTTAACAGGTCAGAATCTCAGCTACAGTGACAAAGGGGGCCGGTTTCAGGCGCTGAGTCACAGGGGGCCCTACAGTGAAGTGCGGGTGTCGGGGAGAAGGGACATTGTTTTCCTCCACAGCCCTGGCCTGAATTCCCACTCCACACAGCAGCAGGCAAGTCTGGCACTCACAAAACTTGAGGCAGCTTGCTTAGTGATGGTTCCGCAGGGAGGGAAACCTCGACTCTCTTAGGGTCAGTGATGGAGGGATGGGCCTTGGAACTGACAAAAGTCAGAAGAGCGAGAGAAGAGATCGGGGATTCACAGAACAATATCCCTCGATGGGTAGGGTTTAGGGCTTATATACCACCTTCATGGGGGAGAGAAAAGGGAGAAGGGTGCTTCTGGGCAAACAAACAGAGTTCTGTAAAGATAAATGGGCCCTTAAGAGGACAGACGGGAGGGGTGACTTGTCTGCTCAGCCAGGTGCTATTATGAGTCTTCTTCTCATCCTATGAATATGAACCCTTAAGCCACATCGGCTCAAAAGTGAACCACCACCACCCCTCCACCCCTCCCACAGAGCCGAGTTTAATGAAAGTCAGAGGGGCAGAGAGAGTGAACGCTGGAGAAATGCCAGCAGTTGTGATATACCCACTGGACACCCCCCACTGACACTTCTCTTCCATTAGGGCCCTCCCACGCGCTGGTTTACTGTCGCACTACCCTTTCCATCTCCACTCACTTCCACTTTCTCTGATGCTTCTGGAAATGCTTTCTCTTGCATATAAAGCAGCTGGATCCACCGTCTCCAGCCCCCATGCCCCAACTCAGATCCAAGCTCACGTTTGGCAACAACAAAATCCATCAGCTCCCGCAACTGAGCCAAGGTGACATTCATATAATCAGCAACAGCAAAGACTGTCAAAGGCCCCTTTTAAAGGCGGTTCTTATTTTCATATCCATTTCCCTTTTCACCATTCCACCAGATTTCAGTGTCCAGGAGGACCTGGGAGATACTGCAGGCTGGGTTCCAGACACCACAATGAAGCCAATATCGCAATAAAGCAAGTCACACGAATTGTGTTGATTTCCCAGTGCATGACAATGTGTAATAGCGTTATGTCTAAAAGAAATCATGTTCATACCTTAGTCTAAAAATACCTTCTTGCTAAAGATGCCAACCATCCTCTGAGGCTTTGGCGGGTTGTGTGGTAACATCAAAGATCAATGATCACAGATCCCATAACACATGAGACTCATGAAAACATTTGGAATATTGAGAGAATTACCAACATGGTGTAACTGAGCAGGACCCTATGGGGCCTTCCCAGGACAGGCCCTTCCCCCATATCCTCTGCTTTAGCTCCTCTCTGAAGTACCCAGTTAACAGTATCTGATGCACATTTCCTGAGTTCTTTTACAGATGTGGAAACTCCCCACCAAATGGAAGAAATTAACTACTTGATGACCACGAGCACACAGCCCTCATCACGCTCCAATCTGGTTTAACTCATTCTGACTTGCTTTTCACAGATGACTTTTCTTTCTGCTTAGCCCTATCATTGTACCTGGTATTCTTCTCTTTTCGACACTCCACTTTGCACACCGTTCTTTGTAAGCTTTCTTCATTCCAGAGAAGGTCACAGTTTGATAACCTCGAGAACCACAGAAGCCCATAAAGAGACCGCCTGACGCCAGCCTTGATCGTCCTCAGATGATCTCTGGGTGGAAAAGAATGCAAGCCCTGTAAGGACCCTGATCGTGACCAGCAACCCTGCTCCTTGAACCATTACTATAACACTCTTCAGTACCTCCTCCGAGATGGAATACAGTCTTGAGGGCATGAGCCCACTGTGGCCCCCTTTGCCTAGCAAAGCAATGAAAGCTATGCTGTTCTGCCTCACCCCAAACTCTTGTCTCTGAGATTCAATTCAGTGCCAGTGTAGGGAAGCCGGGTTTCAGCAACAATGTGACACAGAGACACGACGTGAGAAAATGCTGTTGGAAAAATAGCACCAATAAACTTGATCAAGGCAAACCTCCCATTTGTAAAACTGCAGCATCTGCAAAGCACAATGAAATGAGGTGTGCGGGGCTTCCCAGGTGGCGCAGTGGTTGAGAGTCCGCCTGCCGATGCAGGGGACACGGGTTCGTGCCTCGGTCTGGGAAGATCCCACATGCCGCGGAGTGGCTGGGCCCATGAGCCATGGCCGCTGAGCCTGCGCGTCCGGAGCCTGTGCCCCGCAACGGGAGAGGCCGCAACAGTGAGAGGCCCGCGTACCGAACAACAACAACAAAAAAAACGAGGTGTGCTTGTACCAACTTTCTGCGAAGTCCTGGTTTAGTGGAATGTCAGTGTGCCTCCACCCTTGCCTAGGCGCCATCGTCCTCACTGCCCTGTTTCCCAGCCTGTTTCCACAACAACGCTCAACCTTTCTCAGCCTCATCACTGCTCAAATTCTATCCCTGCTTCTGCAAAGGGGAAGGAATAGTGCAGCAGGATGTGAGCAAACAGAAGCAATCATCAGTTGCTAAAACTCTGAACTTGTAAAAAATCTACTTCGTTTTCCAAGAGTGGAGAAAGCGTTAGGTCGCCTGAGCTAAGATCATCAGAACCGCCACTCGGTAGATTCCATGTCAGCGAAAGAAATTATCCCAAAATCCGTTTGAATGAGAGAAGCTGTCAGTCTCTAAAATATTCTACACCGCATTTGACTGCTTGCTTAGTTTATTTTTTTAATCGGAAAGCACCAACAATTCTCTCTACTGCCACACTTCTGATTTAATAAAGATGCTTTTTCATCTGCCATAAAGGTCCCACAAGACAACGTAATTATGAAATGTGTGCGAACCTAACAGAAGAAAGCTGAGCCTTGTAAAAAGTGAGAAAAGAGAAGATTGCCCTAACCGGGGAGTCCCAGAAATGCTCAGTTTGCAGCTGTCTTTCTTGACCCATTGGTTTTTTAGTATCATGCTGTTTAGTCTCCACTTGTTTGTGCCTTCTGTGATCTTCTGGGCACCTGTCTTTCTTGACATGGTCTCAGGCCTTCTCCTACAGCCCCAGCTTGTGGACTAGCTTGCATTTCCTCATAGCAGGGCAGGCTTGGGGCAGATGGACTACTTACCTGGCAGGTTAAGACTTCACAGGTGAATATTCCAGGAAGAAATGTGCAAGCTGCTTCACTTTTTATGACTTAGCCTCAGAAGTCATTCAATGACAATGCTGGCACATTCTCTTGGTACACACCAGTCACCAACCCAAGCAGATTCAAGAGAAGGGGATTTAGACTCCCTCTGGTGGAAAAGGGGCAAGGCTCTATAAGAGCCTGGGGAATGGGAGCTATTGTTGCTGCCATCTTTGGAAAATACAACCTGCCACAGGGCATTAATAACCAAATCATGGTGGCCAAAGATATTTGGGTGATGAACAAATGAATAAATCAACCGTGAAACACATTCCAATGATTTTTTTCAATAACTCCCTTCTCCTTATTACCTCCCCCTTTTCTTCCACCATATTATGTAGTTGCTGCTCTGCAGGGCATAGCTGATAACAGATTTTCCTGATTCATCTTTCATCCAACCTCTATGGCTTTTCTTCTTCCTCTAATATTCTAAGTCCGGGAATCCCCGCTACCCTAGAGTTTGTGCCTGTTCCCCCCACTCCCTATTCTATACGTTCTCCTTGAAAATTGTATCTGCGTTTTCTTTCCCATGGCTTTAAATACCATTTTATACAGCTGACACCAAAATCTATATTATTAGCTCTAATCTTTCTCCTAAGCCCAAGATACATATTTCAAACTCAATATTAGATATTTTAACCAAATGTCCCAGCAATTTTTAACATTCACTATAACCTCCCAATAAGGTCCTTCTTCTGACTTTCCTTTCTTACTGAGGTCACTATTACTGTAATAAATCAGAAATAGATACTCTAAAAAGTTATATAAAACATCTAATTTACTTAGAGTAGACATCTACACTGCCAGAATAGATTATTCCCTCTTTCCAATACCTGAACAACTGTAATTTGCTTTCCAATGGTTTGCCACTATTAGGTGTTCACTACTAATCCATGCTACATACAGCAATCAGACTGAAACATTCAAAAGCACTATATTCTTTGGGAGACATTACTCCTCAAAATGCTTCAATGGCCTAACTTCTCCCCAGACTAAACTCTTTAGCATAATTATTGACCTACAGTTCCATCTTTATCTTTTACTTCTCCCTTCATACCATCTATATTCAACACAAACTATACGTTTATGTTCCTTAAACTTATTCCAAATTCTCAAACCAATATGCCTTTCCTTAAATATATAAAGCAAACATATATAAAGAAAAAAAAATATATATATATATACATATAAAGCAAATACAGACAGACAAATGGAGAAACTGACAATAACACAGTAACAGTAGGGGATTTTAACACCCCACTTAACATCAATGGACAGATGACCCAGACAGAAAATCAATGAGGCAACAGTGGTCTTAATAGACCAGTGGTACTTAATAGATCTCTATTGGACATTACATCCAAAAACAGCAGCATACACATTCTATTCAAGTGCATGTGAACATTTTCCAGGATAGATTGCATGCTAAGCCACAAAACAAGTCTCAGCCAATTTAAGAGCACAGAAACAGTTTCAAGCATTTTCTCTGACCACAATGGTATGGAACTAGAAATCAATTATAGAAAGAAAAGTGGGAAAGGCACAAACAAGTGGAGACTAAACAGCATGATACTAAAAAACCAATGGGTCAATGAAAAAACCAAAGTGGAAATCAGCAAGTATCTAAAGACAAATGAAAATGGAAATACAACACTCCAAAATGTATGGGAGGTAGCAAAAGCAGTTCCAAGAGGGAAGTTTATAGTGATACAGGCCTTCCTCAAGAAACAAGAAAAATTTTAAATAAACAACCTAAACTACCACCTGAATTAGAAAAAGAAGAATAAACAAAGGCCAAAGTCAACAGAAGGAAGGAAATAATAAAGATTAGAGAAAATAAAACAGAGATCAAAAAAACAGTAGAAAAGATTAATGAAACCAAGAGCTGTTTGTTTGAAAAGATAAACAAAACTGATAAACCTTTAGCCAGGCTCACCATGAATAAAAGGGAGAGGACCCAAATAAACAAAATAAGAAATGAAAGAGAAGAAATGCCAACCAATACCACACAGATACATAAAATCATAAGAGGATACTACAAATAGTTATATGCCAATAAACTGGACATCCTAGAAGAAATGGACAATTTCCAGAAACATACAACCTGCCAAGACTGAATCAAGAAGAGACTGACAATTGGAACAGGCTGATCTCATCACTATCAGTGACAATGAATTTGTAATTTTAAAAAACCCCCAGCAAACGAAAGTCCAATCTGGATGGCTTCAAAGGAGAATTCTACCAGATGTATAAGGAAGAGCTAATACTTATTCTGAAACCATTCCAAAAAAAACTGAAGAGGATGAAACACTCCCAAATTCATCCTACAAGTCCACCATTACCCTGATACCAAAACTAGATAAAGATACAACAAAAGAAAAAAAATTACATGCCAAAATCTTTGATTAATATAGATGCAAAAATCCTCAACCAAATATTAGCAAACTGAATACAACAATATATAAAAAGGACCATATACCACGATCAAGTTGGATTTATTCCAAGGACACGAGGATGGTTCAATATTCACAAAAATCAATGTGATACATCACATTAACAAAAGAAAAGACAAAACCACATGATTGTCTCAATAGACACAGAAAAATCATTTGACAAAATTCAGCATCCACCCATTATAAAAACTCTCATCAATGTGGGTATACAGGGAACATACCTCAACATGATAAAGGCCATTTATGACAAACCCACACCTAATATCATACTCAATGGTGAAAAGCTGAAAGCCTTTCCTCTAAGTTCAGGAACAAGATAAGGATGTCTACTCTCACCCCTTCTACTTAATACAGTATTGGAGGTCCTAGCCATAGCAATCAGACAAGAAAAAGATATAAATCCAAATTGGAAGGAAAGAAAACTGTCATGATTTGCAAGTAACATACTATATATAGAAAACCCTAAAGTCTCCACCCCAAAACTATTAGAACTAATACATGAATTTGGCAAAGTTGCAGGATACAAAATTAATAAACATAAATCTCCTGCTTTTCTATACACTAACAATGAACTATTTGAATGAGAAAGTATTAAAACAATCTAATTTACAATAGCACCGAATAATAAAATACCTAGGAATAAACTTAACCAAGAAGGTGAAAAACCTATGCTCTGGAAACTATAAAACACTGATGAAGGAAATCAAAGGAATATATCCCATGTTCTTGTATTGGAATAATTAATGTTGTTGAAACGGCCATACTACCCTAAGCAATTTACAGATTTAATGCAATCCCTACCAAAATACCCGTGACATTTTCACAGAACTAGAATAATCCTAAAATTCGTTTGCAACAAAAAAAAGATCCCGAGTTGCCAAAGCAATCTTGAGAAAAAAAGAACAAAGCTAGAGGTATCATGCTCCCAGACTTAAGACTATGCTACAAAGCTACAGTAATCAAAAACAGCATGGTAATGGCACAAAAACAGACATATAGATTAATGAAACACAACAGAGAGCCCAGAAATAAATCCACACACCTATGGTCAATTAATCTATGACAAAGGAGGCAAGAATATAC